TCTGGCAAGGAAGGATGATGGTGACTCACTCAAAATTAGATCTGTGCCCCAAGCAAGTACACCAGCACCCTTCAGGATCATTAGAGATATACCCTGTGGATTACCACGCCACACTCAGAGGTGGAGTGAAGGCGTATCTATAGAGATACTAAGTGACCACCTCCTTGTGTCCAGGCCCACATCAATCCAAATGGAAACATTTGGTTTTATCTTCTCATATGTACCCGCCACAGAAATAATAATTGCCTTCATGAATTTGTTATTATTTTCTTATCCCATAGACATGTTGCACGCCCCACCTGCGATCCAAGAGGACAGACATCACAATTCCTGCCACACGGTTTAAGTTGTGCAACTCATGTTTAGGCTTAATTAAAAGATTGGGCTTGTCCCATTCCAAATATAATAAAAATAAGGCTTTATTATTATTCTGTGGGGTAAATATGAATGTTTTTATCCTTCCTTTGGATGTGATACTGGAACAAGGCTAATGGCATTTACATATCAAAGAGATTTACTCATCCCTTACAAGGTACATGCCAAATGGATGAATAGACATTCAGACTTTTTCCAAGTGTAGAACCTCACACCTTGCAGATTATTGATTCTGTCACATCCATATAGTAAAATCCTTTTCACATTGCTATGCCATTCATACTACCCCTTCTGTCATCTGACCTCTGTGGGGGTCCCAGCTTCAAAAGATGTAACCTCTTTTGACCTCAGCAATACCATATCTGTAATTTGTGCCATTTACTACACAAATTACATTAGAGGATAATATTCCATAGTGTAATAATAAATTATGCACCCTTGCCGTGACAGGAGGGACGGACCTATTGTCCTCCCCCCTGGCCCCCACCCATGAGCGGTGGGCGGGGGCTCTAAATGAAAATGGTAGGAATGTTCAGTCTTTTTTAGTAGCCACTTAGTCACAAACACTGGCCAAAGTTAGCGTTCATAATAGTTTTTTGCATTTTTTAAACACAAACAAATATAAATGCTTACTTTGGCAGGTTTTGTGATTAAGTGGCTATTAAAAAAGACTGGACATACCCCATATTTAATACCCTGGGTTGTCTACTTTAAAAAAATATGTACATGTGAGGTGAGATACAGAGATTTATGACAGATAACAGTGTTACAATGTCACTAATGATAATTTTTAAAAATATATATTTTGAAACGGCGATGTCCAACTTGTACATATAACCCTATAAATTAAAAAAAAAAAGAACATGTTAACATTGGGTATTTCTAAACTCAGGACAAAATTTAGAAACTATTTAGCATGGGTGTTTTTTGGCGGTTGTAGATGAACAACAGGGGTCAAAGTTAGATAAAGTGTGTTTTTTAAACAATTTTCATTATATTTTATAAAATTTTTTACAGTAAATTATATGATATGATGGAAATAATGGTATCTTTAGAAAGACCATTTCATGGCGAGAGAAACGGTATATAATATGTGTGGGTACAGTAAATAAGTAAGAGGAAAATTACAGCTAAACACAAACACTGCAGAAATGTAAAAACAGCCCTGGTCCTTAACAGTAAGAAAATTGAAAAACGGTCTGGTCACTAAGGGGTTAATTAAGTATTTTGGGTGTATAGATCATACACCTCCGGTCTTAATCATCTGCCATTAGCAGTTTAATCACTTTGTTTATGCAGCACTAGTCACTTCTACACAGCCTTCCTAAAAACTTAGTGTTGAAGAAGTTATACCGACAGCCACTAGGTGTGCTCTTAACTCAGTAATGTACACGTTGCAGTTTCTAAACACTGCAGATACATTCTAGGGTTAAAAGGACTGGGACACGGCACCAGACCACTTATTTGAGATGAGGTGATCTGGGTGATGTAGTTTCCCTTGAATAAAATAACTCAGCCATTGTTTGTTTCATTCTACGTCAGTGTCAACAATGGCTTTAGTCCTTAGCTGATTAGTTTTTTTGTAAGAGTTTCTTAAAGTTATATTAAAAGTTCTTAAAGTATATATCTCCAAACAATCCTGGACTATGTGAAACAGTCCTGATTTGGGGCTCATGTTCTGCCATCCTGGGTTTGTTTCCTGGTGTCATGATCCTGCGGACACCGAAGGCAAAGTCCTCAAAAAGCGCAGCTTGCAAACTACACTTCGGGCAATCAGCTGAAATGAGAGCATTTCAACAGCATGATTGTCAGCCTGGTGATCAATCATGTCAGTCTGACACACACCTACTTGGGTGGATACCAACACTCTTTCAGGGAAGAAGCCCACCAAAGTGTCACCAGTGATGTAAATAGCATCACTAGTGTTATGGACGTAAAATAGCATTAGTAAAATGTCTATTTACTTTGCGTACCTGTATTCACTATTTACTCAAAATGGCTGCTAGAGCAACCCCTCACATCAACTAACTACCTTGTGTAACAAGATGGCGCCTGTATCCGGAGTAAAATCACGGGAAGATGGTGACATCACGCCTTGTAGGATGTGCATTAGATAAAACACTTAACACCTAACCAATTAAAGATGTATTCTTTCTGTTATCTACATTTTTGCATATGATGTATTCTTGTCTTTATAAGGGGCTTCCCGCCCCCCTAAGTAAACATTCAGACGTTTTTCATTAAGCTGCAAACTTGTGTCTGGTGTGAATTACTTCAGAACGTGCACGCATCCATTTTAAACAATTTGGACAGGGGCAGATATTCAAATAATCAAACACTTGGTTTGGTCCACAACACTAGCACCCGTCCTTTAGCCAGCCCTAACCCCTTCCCAATGTTGGTAGGGTGCTGTAATGATGGTTATATTCAAATCATAGTATAATGATAGTGGCTCTTTGAAGCTCACATTGTGAAAATTTGGTGAAAATGATTAAATTCCAACTGGATTGGCGATTGTTAGTTTTACTAAAGCTAGTACCGGTCTAATTTGGTTATCTTAAGTTGATCTGCAACATTTGCAGGGTGCTTTATGGCGTCAACTTTCAAATAAGTACTTTTTGCATTCCAAATCCTACATGGAGAATAGAATTTGGACACTTAGAAAACATTGATTTTAAACAGAATAGGAACAAAATGCATCCAGTAGAATGCACATTTGCAAATTAAATTATCAGTCACTTACTTTTTACAAGTAAACTATAATTAACAGTGCTATTTAGCTGTAAGTGGGCAAACAGGCAAAATCCTCAGTGGCGCAAGAGTTAAGTGATGTGGTGGGCAATGGGCAAATAGTTTGGACAATTAAAGGACCACTATAGTGCCAGGAAAACATACTCGTTTTCCTGGCACTATAGTGCCCTGAGGGTGCCCCCACCCTCAGGTTCCCCCTCCCGCCGGGCTGGATGGCAAGGAAAGGGGTTAAACTTACCTTTTTTCCCAGCGCCGGACGGGGAGCTCTCCTCCTCCTCTCCGCCTCCGATTCTCCTCTTCGGCTGAATGCGCATACGCGGCAGGAGCTGCGCGCGCATTCAGCCGGTCTCATAGGAAAGCATTTACAATGCTTTCCTGTGGATGCTGGCGTCTTCTCACTGTGAGAAGCACGCAAACGCCTCTAGCGGCTGTCAATGAGACAGCCACTAGAGGCTCTAGAGACTGGATTAACCCTATTATAAACATAGCAGTTTCTCTGAAACTGCTATGTTTATAAAAAAAAAAGGGTTAATCCTAGAGGGACCTGGCACCCAGAGCACTTCATTAAGCTGAAGTGGTCTGGGTGCCTAGAGTAGTCCTTTAATACCCGGGTATGGATTTTAGCTGTCCAACAGCATTCACATAGCCTAAAACCTGGACACAGTTTTGGCTCATTCCAAGAACATTGTCCAGATTTTGCAGTCAGAATGGTCATGTACACAATGGTTTTGCCATTGACTTGACAATTGCACAGCAATAGATGCAATAGAAACCTTTGCTTCTTTCTGTGTGTAACTCGGTTAAAGAAACACTGTACTCACTATAACAGCTTAACCCCTTAAGGACCAAACTTCTGGAATAAAATGGAATAATGACATGTCACACGTCATGTGTCCTTAAGGGGTTAAACTAAAGTGTTATAGTGCCTACATCAGCTAAAAGTTGTTATAGTGCCTTCTTAGAGGCCCCAAATGACTTTAATAATTAGAAGGATTGAAAAAACGGCTTTAAGCCACTTCTCCAAGCCCTATGGGTAGGGGAACGAGGATGGTTACTTCTCATAACATAGCATATCGTGCATGCAATTATCCTCTACGGCAGATTCATGGGCCTATTGTAGCAAGTGCAGCGCATGCACCGACTGTCCCCAATGCTCCTCTATGAGGAGCATTGCATTGGACTGTCACTGTACAGCGCTACAGAATTTGCTGGCGCTATATAAATAATATAATAATAATTCTGAAGGCTTTTGAGGAGGAGGCCGCGGGGAGAAGATGACTACTTTATGTTTTTTAGGTTGAATGTTTTGCAGGTGTATGGATTGGGGAGCCCTGAAATTATTAAAGATGCTTTAAGACTATAGTCACGAAACAGTATATTCGTAATCAAAACTCCCGTCCAACCCCTCGTCTCTCTACCCTGCCCTTGTAGCCTCTGTATAGAGAACGTAAGTGCCCGCACTCCTGCCTAAATTGCCCTGTACAGATTATTGCTTTGCAGTCCATACCTGGAACATTGTATATGTATATTTATTTGTATTCCACATTCATGCCAGATAATACAGGCATTATTACTTATACACTCCTCCCCTTAACCCCTTAAGGACACATAACATGTGCGACATGTCATGATTCCCTTTTATTCCATAAATTTGGTCCTTAAGGGGTTAAATTATTATTATTATTTTTTTTATATTGCCAGCCCTGAAATAAGTTTTTTTTTTTTTTTTTGTAGGGAGCCAAATTAAATTGTATGAGCTCACAAGCCCTTTCCTCCTCCTCCTGAGTGGGGGGGATACATTTCAGCACATAGGGCCAAATAAAGTGCATGCTGTTGTTGTTGTTTTTTTTTGCACAGAGAATGTGAACCCAAAGAGCAGAGTCAGGAAGGCCTGCTCCCATTTCTATGTATGAGCCTGCTGGGGGGTCAGAGGGGGGCTATTTCCCAGAGCTCTCTGCGGTGTCCCTGCAGTCAGCCTCATACTGCAGCACTCAGCAAGCTGCTATCTCTCTCTCTCCCCCTGCTCCTCCTCTTCTCGTCCTCTGTCTGTCTCAGGGAGGGGAGCGGCCCATAGCTCACAACAAACCCTCCCAAATTCCTGTCCTCGCCCAGTAGCTGCTGCCTCCATCTCTCTGGCAGGTGGTGAGTGAGTGTGGGAGCCTGAGCAGCATGAAGGCAGCAGCCCTGCTCCTCTTGTGCCTGGCATCCCTGGATGCCAAGCTGGTGCCAGAGAGCCAGGAGGGCTTTGCAGAGTGCAATGACTTCTTCTACCAAAGCAGTCCACCCCAGGGCTTCACTGACCCTTCCTACACCAAGATCTGCCAGAAACACAATGGGGACCCCCAATTTGCTACATTGTACAACACCAAGGACAGGATCCCCCTATACTCTGCCTTCACCTACAGGGAGGGGGCTACCAATGATGGGGGCAGCTGGCTGATTGAACCCCAGGTAAGTGCACACCCCCCCTGTCTTAATAACCCCATGATCCTGCACAAAGCATAAATACATTTATTATAATTTTCTCAGTGATTGCATTATTAATAGCTTTTTTTTAGCCTCACTCCCATCATGCTATAATGTATTGATTGATGGCATGACTTGTACCAATGTTATATGTAATATGTTTTTAAAGAGCCATGTACACTCAGCCAGGGATGGCCATAAAGTGCTATTGTACATCTACTGCTCAATTAGAGCTGCATTATGGAAGGGGGGTGAGGGGTCTGCCATTGGTCTGCTCTAGTACCAAGTGTTCATTCATAAATGCCTGCATACTCTGTTTGCATATGTATAGTACACAAAGAATTATGCTATTAATATTTGTGTGTGTATATATATATATCTGAAATAGTTTGAGATCTGTTTGTTGGGTTTAAAGCTGGGGCAGGCCATTAATGCAGGGTTTTCTATAGGAAAATCTACTGTCACAGAGCTGGGTCTGATGGCCAAATACCACTCAGTTATTCACTGAAATATGGTGTCTTCTGCAGTTTTCTCAAGCATGTCTGTCTATTTCAGGGATGAATTAATGTATTGCAGTAGAATGCAAAATTCATGTAATGACTAGTTCAATGGGTAGAGAGAGGTATGTTCTACATTGCTGAGTAGGTGTGCAGTAATGTATTGCTGCAGATCAGGAAAGGTTGCATTGTTACAGTTTATCAGAGAGCTGCACCCAATTTGTAAATAAGCCTTAGGATAACCTGAATCAGGCCAAATGCTTTCACAAACCCTAGATCAGAGATTGGTAACCATTGGAAACTAGTCCACAAAAGCCAGTTTTGGCTATCACTTCCCCAGGCACTGGGCTGCCTAATACATCAAAACTGGTTTGATTATCAATTTTAATTTGCAGAGATGTAGCAAAGCAGTTGTGAATCAATGCAGATCCAGAAGAGCAAATCAATTAATCGCAAATGTTGCTCACATTGTAAGTTTTCTTTGTGTAAGGGTCCCTTTAACTTTTAAGGCACTCTTTGTGTTTTAGAGATTGCTGTTTTTAGGCATTACACCTACCTGTTTAGAAAAGAGGAGGGGGGGTACGTGGTTAAAAATTCCTAACATAGCATTGAAAACCCACAATCTAACAGGATCCTCTGTCCAAATTAATATATAACATAACACACATTTATATCCTTTTAAGTGACGATCTGTATTCTTTACTGTATTAAGTATTTATAAGGAGCTTTAGACAATACGTAAAATAATTTTTTGTTTCATATAATATTTTTATTTATTGTGTTAATAAAATTAGTAGCTTGTTAATGCAGCCTACTACAGAATTCAGATATCAAGCATCTGATCACAGCGTTTTTTGTACATCTTGATGAAACATGTTTTGTTTTTTTTGTTTGTTTTTTTCCCCTCAGTTTATTGATCCATCCTGGTAGAAACTAACCTTGATCCTTGTGTATGTCATTAGAGGCCTTTACCGTGCCTGAATCTGATTATGGCTCCATGCAGTGCGCATGCAGAGTATCACCAAGAATTCTGTAAATCAGATGAACTTACAAATAGAAATGTCTTTAAACGAGGCATTATTTAACGAGATGGTGACATCACGTTAGTGTGTCCTATTAAAACACAAAAATCTGATGCACTGCTTCCCATTTTATTATGGTAATCCATTTGCTTTGATGTCAGACAGCTAGTTTTAACAAGGAAAAATATTGATGGATCATGCTGAAAAGAATTATCTACGTTTATCCATCCTTGAGTGGCTGTCAGATGTCTGTGCGTCTGTCTGTGTTCTGGATTGCCATGAGATTGTTTCACTGACATTCCATGGGGCTAAGGAACATATCGGCATTCCCAGAACTGTCATGCTGTGGTGGTGGTCATTGGTGCACGTTTACAAAGCGTTCATTGTTGCTTTAATCAGATCACCCATGAAAGGGTTTCCAGCTCAAATGTGCCAATTTCTTTGTAAGGAATTGTTTAAAGAATGTCACCAGTCAACAAAATAGCCCAATTATTCGTATTTACTTATTGCAAATGTTGTTTTTGTCAAGCAACCACCTAATAGGAGTTACTGTTTGCTTACTGCCATGTTTAAAGGGTAAGATGAACTGTGATGTTGGAAAGAAAGACATATTTCTTTTATTTTAAAAACAAATAAATAAGTAATCATCCCCTCAATCCCTAACCCCCTTTAAAAATAAAAAAATAAAAAATTGCATAAACTAAAAGACTGCTCTGGAATATGAGGCAAATTCCAAAATGCCCCATGATTCCCTGTGAGTGAACCATGATTGCTCAGGGCCTCTCAGTGATGGGTGCACAGATTGCCCAGACATTTAAAGAAGGTAAATGTACCTTATACTTGCCTCTGCAGCCCCTGTCCCCTTACTCTGAACACTGGAGACGCTTTGTTCTATGACTCCTATTACTCTGACCTGGAGAACAAAACTACAGATTATGACATGCAGGAGTACCCCGATCTAATGTAGATATTTCCGTAAACAATTACTACAATTTGTAGTAAGCCCATTAACCCTAGCTTTTGCACTAAGAACATAAGTGTTATGACACAGTGTTGTTATGGTTGTAGTGCAATTATATCATTAGCATTTTAATCCTTGATGTATAAAAGACGCCATTTTGGCCACGTCATTGGACAGTTATTTGCACAGACGTAATTTATTTTAAAAACGCTTGGAATTTTATGTGAACAAATACTCCCCCTTCTATTTCCATCACTTCTGATATTCATAGTTCTAATGAATCCATTACAGGTTATGTAATTCCATTCAATCAGAGTGCCTCTGACACTTCACTAACCAAATACATTTAAGAAAAATCCCTAACATACTCTGATCAGTCACAAGCGTAAAACCGCTGAAAGGAGAAGTGAATAAGTGATGGCAGCAGGGTGTACTATGGGAAGAAGGCAGGCTGGTGGAGGCAGTGTTTGCTCTGGGCAATGTTCTGCTGGGAAACCTTGGGCCCTGTCATTCACATGGATGTTACTTTGACACATATCACCTACCTAGAGATTAATGCAGTCCATGTACATCCCTTCATGGCAGTGGTGTCTTTCAGCAGGATAATGCACCCTGTCACACTGCAAATATTGGTCAGGAATGGTTTCAGGGACATGACAAAGTGGGACATGTAGGCCCCACCTTGCAACTTGCTGGACTCAGAGTATCTGCTGCTAATGTCTTGGTGCCAGGTTTTTCGAGGTCTTGTGAATCCATATCTTAACGTATCATAGCTCTTTTGGCAGCACAAGGGGGATCTACACAACATTAGGCAAGTTGTTTTTGATGTTGTGGATGATTTGATATACCCCTTGTGAAAGCAGGCATGCATTTCAAAATGCACTTTATTCTTGGTGGTATATTTAAAAAACAAAAAAAAAACGGCTTGCAAAAGCTGCCGATCTCTTGTCTGAAGCCTTTGCAAGCCCTCCCCTTCAAACTTTATGTGGCTGTCCAATCACAGACTTCCCAATGCAGCTCAATGCGAAGTCTTTGCAAGGCAGGTGCTCCGGACCATTGCTGCCTCTTGAGTTTGGCTCCACTGAGCTAAACTACCAGGAAGTAATAGGACCGGCTGTCTGACAGCGAGTGGGTGAAACAAGGCTGATTTATAAAAGTGCCATTTTCTATTGAAATCTGTACTTTTTGTAAAGGAAAAAAAAAAGGGACACGCTCTTAACACATAAAGCACTCAGCAAGCCACGCTACTTTTAGGGGTTTGGAGTGTTCCTTTAATGAATACAGCTCAGTGATATTGACCGGATATTCCGTTTTTTTGTTTGTTTTTTTTGGGCCATGTATTATAGTAGCCAAATACACATAAAATCATCCATTATAACTTCCTAAAGGAGGCTGAATTACAGCCTTTTACTCTCACTGTGATTTTATAGATTTATACGAGAGACATTTGTAATAGATGCTTTTCCTGTTTGAAAAACAATATCTTAAGGATATATTGCTTTACAGTTACATTGATGATGGGTTTCTGTTTCTTTTTCTTTTTCCCATGACACGAAGGAGAGAACATGTTTATCATTATGGGAGAGCTCCTTATTCATAACACTGTCATCCAGTATTGGGTATTCATAATGTCATTACTGACCTTCTCCAAAACCCAAGCTCCATTATCATATTGTTACTGTAATTGTGCAGCAGTGGATTGTGGGCTTTTACGATCATCAGACCTGTCATCGCATCCTCTGTTCCTGCCTTGGATATAGAATGCCCAGCTATTCACCATTGTTATTCTCCAAACAATCACAGTGTCGTATTCTTCCTTTCTCTCGCGCACACACACTCTCCCTGTTCATAGGCCACATGTTGTTTTATTGGTCACAGTCATCCAGAGGTTGCAGAACGAGATTGCTTCTTCTATAATGACCTGTTCTTTCAAACTGTCTCCACCCTCAATGGACACTTTCCCACAGGGCCTATGTGTGAAACAAGAAGTTGTAGAGATTTGACAAGCAATGTGCAATTTTTAAGTCAAAGTAACTGAGCTGGAATAATTCTCACCAGGTTTCCTATTAATCCTTAAAATGTCTTTGTTTTTTAATGTTGCATGATCGCATAGACACTGAATGCACATTAGGTACAATAAGCAAACAGATCATTTAGAATGTAGATATAGATAAAGCATTTTACTTACCTTATTTCCTCTAGGGCTCCCGTCTTGGCACAGCCGCAACTCCTCTGCTGGCTGAGTTCATCAATACTGATGATGCTAATGCGAGAGCACTGCATATTGCAGAGTTGCACCAATTAGAAAAAGCAGTGTTTACACTGCTGCTCCTGCAAGGACCGTTACTTTGCCCCAGAAAAAAATAATTAAGCTGCAGTGGTTCTGGTGTCTATAGTGTCCCTATATACACCAGAACCACTGCAGCTTAATTTTAAAGGGTCACTATAGGAACTGAAACAATTTTAGCTTAATGAAGCAGTTTTGGTGTGTAGATCATGCCCCTGCAGTCTCACTGCTCAATTCTCTGCCATTTAGGAGTTAAATCACTTTTGTTTCTGTTTATGCAGCCCCGTGGCTGTGACTGACACAGCCTGCATGAAAAGAATGGTTTCATTTTCAATTACATTGAAACTTTAAAAGTTTTTATCTCCTGCGCTGTAAATTGAACTTTAATTACCTAGAGGAGTCTCCTGTGGGGTCTAGCAAGCCATTAACAGAGCAGGTGATTAGAAATTCTAAATTACACAGAATTTGCAATAAAGAAGTTTAAACATTAGATGACTCTTTACAGGAAGAATTTAAGAAGGTCGGTGTAAGTCACCTGCAGGGAGGTGTGACTAGGGCTGCATAAACAAAGTGATTTAACTCCTAAATGGCAGAGACATGAGCAGTGAGACTGCAGTGGAATGATCGGTGCACCAAAATGACTTAATTAAGCTAAAGTTGTTTTGGTGACTATAATGTCATTTTAAGTATTATGATTAATTTATTTTTATGTTTTAAAACAGTGAATTACACTATGTTTGATTAATGCTTTGTCTAAATAGAAATAGCCACGTAAGGGTGAGACAAGTTTAAAAACCAAAATAAAAGACACAAAACAAGCACATATAGCATGTCCATGTTCACCTAAACATCATATCCTGGTCCCCGTTGGCATGCATGAGACCCGGCATAGTCACTCAGTACTTCTGTAGTGCATGCGGCACTGTGAGGGCTAAAGGGACACTCCACTTCCCAAATACAAACCAAATAAAAACAACTGTTCGGTAGATATAACCCCCAATTAATACATTTTGTCCAGTTGTGTCTAAGGTGTTTTTAGAAAGAAAAATAAACACTTTAGACACAACAGGATAATCCCTAAATCCTGGATTGGTAGGGGGTACTTGAGGATTGGGTTGGGAACTTCTCTAGGAGAAACTTATTTTAAAACAACATTGTTGCAATAAAGTTCTTAAATAATGTTTTTAATCATTTTTCTTTATGTAGAACCAAGTAATTCTCAGCACTGGGTACTCTAATAATACACTACGTTATACAGCAATTTATTATTTAGTTTATTTGATCAAATGCCTGTGTGGCCTGCTGTATGTAGGTGATACTATCCACACTGTCAAGAAGAGAATCAGAAAGCACAAGGGTAATGTCAGACTAGCTCTTAAAAAGGGCATTGATGAATCCCCAGTGGCCAAAAACTTTAGACTATTAGGCCACAATGTAAGCCAATCCGCCCAGTACAGGAGATGGGGGGGGGGAGTGGGGTCACAAGAAAGATGAGTAAGACAGTGGTAGACCAAATGGATCTTTCTGCTCAATAGTCTCATGGAAAAGTTAAAATGAGGGTTACAACTGAGGGTTAAGCACTTTCTATAATCATTGTACAGAGTTTCTTCATTATGTATATGTTGATCTTTGCTTCTGGCAGGGGGTACACTGATCGTGGCAGCTTGTGTGAAATATTGTATATCAGCATGCATGCTGTGTATCAGTGCCTGTGTGTCCACATTGAGACACATAAAGTTATTCTTGGACTGGCCGAGTGATATCATTACACACGTGCATGTTCCTTTGTACTTTTAGTATATAAGGTTGCTGAGACGCTAATGCGGGACATATAAACAAACAGAAGGAGGAATCCACACTCTTATCTGGTCCTGGTGCATCCAGATATGGTTCTGGCTAAGCCCTCTCCAATGGTAAAACAATAAATGTAGCCCAGGCACCCAGGATCTCTTATGCAGCAGTTTTATTGGAAAAACAGGAAAAACCTGCAACGTTTCGATCTCAACTGAGATCTCTTTCAGCGTTGAAAAATATCTCAGTTGAGATTGAAACGTTGTGTTTTTCCTGAATGCATGACATCTATGCATGTTCAATAACCCTGTCCTGATTGACTTTCTCCTGTGAAGGGAGAGAACATGCTTTTTTATTTATTTATTTTTTGCACATTTTATTGCTATCTACCATTGTTCATTATGTGTAACAAGGTTTTCCTTTTACCCTGAGAGTATGCATACATCCTGAAAGTATTTTAGATAAATACTTGGTAAAATTCATAGTTGCTTATGTAATTTTTTTTTTTCTCAAGTGTCTAATGTTCCTTAGTTGTATTGTTTATAATATATTTTTTGGGTTGTTTGGGATCCTTCTCACAACTGTTGCACTTGTATGGATGAGTGCACGGGCTAATTTCCTTTTTTCCCCAATGAGAAGTCTTTGCAAGCCAGGTGCTCTGGGCAATTGCTGCCTTTTGAGTGTAACTCCACTGAGCTAAACAACCAGGAAGTATCCAGGGCGATATAACAAGGGTAATTTATAAAAGTGCCAATTTCTGTTAAATTCTGCACTTTTTTTTTTCCAAATGAAAAAGAGATCACACACTTCACACAAAATGTACTTCAGCAACCTAAAGTGCTTTCAGGGGTCTGGAGTGTCCCTTTTAGTTTGTTTCTACTTGGTTTGTGCACAAATGTTGCAAGGAATTGTTCCACTTTAATACACCATTCAAAAAATATGTAAATGTTGCAGAAGACAGTGAGATAGCTCAGTGGGCTAATGCATCATCAGTAGAATCTGTTCAACCCTTGGGTTGCAGATTCAAACTTCGGCAGGGTTGACTCAGCCTTTCATCCTTCTGAGGTAGATAAAATGAGTATTATTAAATTGGGTAATAGTAACAACCCCTGGATGTTGGGAGATGGTAACATCCCCAGGACGTACTTGAACACCAGAGTAATCTGAATGTACCTTTTCTGGTTAAATACTTTTGTCGTTATTATTATTCATTGTTCTTTTAATGTAACCATGTTCTAGGACAGTGGTTCCCAACCTAGTCCTCAAGTACCCCTTAACAGTCCTAGATTTAGGGATTGTCCAGTTGTGTCTAAGGTGTTTTTAGAAAGAAAAATAAACACTTTAGACACAACAGGATAATCCCTAAATCCTGGATTGGTAGGGGGTACTTGAGGATTGGGTTGGGAACTTCTCTAGGAGAAACTTATTTTAAACCAACATTGTTGCAATAAAGTTCTTAAATAATGTTTTCAATCATTTTTCTTTATGTAGAACCAAGTAATTCTCAGCACTGGGTACTCTAATAATACACAACGTTATACAGCAAGAATTCACCAGGGAATTTCAAAATTTCAGGCCAAATTAGAAACTGGTCATTTTACCAGTATTCACAATTTTATTTTTCTAAATGTTTTTTTTTTTCAAAAGTGGATGAAAACATGTGAGGATGGATCAAAAATTATAATTACCCTTCATAATGTAGGTATAAATATACACAAAACACACATATATTTACAAACAGAACACAATATAACAAGATATAGGGTATTGTAGATACAACTCTAAAGATTGTGTAGTATTGCACAGGAAGTAAATTGATTGCAGGAGAGTCACCCAATAATGGGTATTTAAACCCCTTCACCATTTTAGGAATAAACCTTAATGTAGCTTTTATGTTATATGCTGCTTGTTTCATTATACACGTTGTATTCCTAATACAATGGGGATGACAAAGATCACTTACAAAGCGATGTAGAACATGCATGTTTTTGATTTATATATTTTTTTCATTGGGGCTACGTCTAAAAACCTCTGGCAAAATCTGCATTTCTCTTCTGCAGCTATTGCAAGCCCTCCCCTTCTAACCCCGCCCAGACTTCCGGTAAATGTCCAATCACAGGCATCCCAATCCAGCTCAATGAGAAGACTATGCAAGGCAATTGCTGCCTCTTGAGTTTAACTCCACTGATCTAACCAAACCAGGAAGTAAAAGGACCGGTTGTCTACATGAAAGCCAGTTGGAAATAACCAGCTTAATTTCTAAAAGTGTACATTTCTATTTAAATCTCTACATTTTTCAAAATGAAAAAAAGAGGACACACTCTTTACACATAAAGCTTTATAGCAAGCTAACATTCTTTAGGAGACTGGAGTATCCCTTTAAAGAGACATATACTTGAGATGTGTGTCATCATTAACAAATTATTGTGGCCTTTTTTTTTTTTTAACAATATCTTCCTTCTGAGGAATAACTCACTGCGTTTGGGCTAAGTCTGCGTATAATAAATCAACAAACTAACTTTTATCTGTTCTAAATTTAATATTCTAATTTATCAGACTCGCTATTGATTTCTGCAGCAAAAATCAAATCAGGATCTCAAACATTAAAGTCAGCAGAAAATCGGGAAAACGAGCTGTAATTTCAGAGAACATGCATTTTGATCAACTATACCCAAAGCTGAAACGCAGGACACTGCTTTTGGCTGATGTCATCAATACTGATGGTCTGTCTGGCAACTGACACTATTTAATAGAAATAGGAACCTTCCTAATTAGAAATCCATATGACTTTTATAGCAGTAGGCTGCTCTGTTCTATTACCTGACAGAAAAGTTGAAAGGGGTTTTGAGTGATAGATGTAGCCATTAAGTAATTTTGCAACTTAAATTATCCACCTGCATTCCTTCAGTTAATGCAGGTACGGGGCCTACCACCATTCCATATACAGTTTTGTGCAACTATTTTTGGTTTTAATGTTGAGGATTTAAAAACAGTCTTCAAAGGCTGACCGCTTAGAAACTGTGCAGTGTTTTTTGTTTGGTAATTTTTTGGAGTGGGTGAGCGTGTGGGGGTTGTGATATTAAACCTGCGCTAAATAAATAACATAATAATAATATTATCCTACTTATTCATAAGCTCTCATAAGCTACTGCATTCATAAGCTCTCAGACATAACTTTGTGCACTTTTTGCAGCATAGAGTACAACTGTGTATCATTCGCTGTAACTCCATGACGCCCAAGGCTCTGCGTACATTGCTGAACCACCTTGATCTAATATGGACATCTGGTTTGATTAGCAAAGAGTTCCAGTGCCCAGGATCTTATAAACTGTCTGTGTAATTGACACCGCTGAATATAACTTTGAAAATCAACTGTACCATTCTTTTCAAATGGTACTGTTATCTGTTAAATTGACATGAAAGAATTTGCAAATGATATCACAAACCAGACACAGCTAGGGAACCCACTGTATATAGAAACATTGTTTCATTCTCCTCCTATGCTAGAGAGTTCTCCTGCCCATGGACTTTGGCGTACTATTTGTAACTCTTTTATACAAAGTACTATGTAAGGACCCGCTTGTGAAGTTACAATCTAAAGGGAAAACATGCATTGACACAATGTAGCATGGGAGAAACATTAGATTAATTGTATTGCAGGGAATGCAAATTCAGCTGTGGGCAATTGAAGTTGGGGAAATCATTATTGATGAGTAACGTTACTTGGATTAAGAAGAATGGTCTATAAAGTAAGGCCACGGTGGGACACTGTGTACAGAATGTTACTCTTTTGGGTGTGGGTGGCGTAAGGGGGATGGTACAATGTTACAAAAATTTCAGTTGCTTAAGTGATTTACAGTAATTTTATTGCCACTTGCCATCAGCCATTATAACTCTGTGTGTAACAATTAGCAAATGTTACAGTTACATCACAATATGGCTTATAGAAAGCACAAATGATATGAATGTGGTTTTATTTTTCATAGCCACGGATTGGCAGATTTTCATCCCTGTCTAGAATCCGTCATGTAGAATGTCAGCCCGGTTTACAATTATTCATGTAGAATTTCAGCCATGTCTAGAGTCAGTCATATAGTTTGGCATTTTTAAATTTCAGCCCTCTTTTGAAACCACCATAAACATTTCAGCCCTGTCTGGAATATAGAATTCAGCCCTGTCTATTGGCTATATAGAATTTCAGCCTTCTCTAGAATAAGTCGTCTAGAATCAGCCATAAAGAATTTTAGCCCTGTCTAGAATCAGCCATAAAGAATTTTAGCCCTGTCTAGAATCAGCCATAAAGAATTTCAGCCCTGTCTAGAATCAGCCATAAAGAATTTCAGCCCTGTCTAGAATCAGCCATAAAGAATTTCAGCCATGTCTAGAATCAGCCATAAAGAATTTCAGCCCTCTAGAAAAAGTCATATAAAATTTCAGCCCTGTAAAGAATCAGCCATAAAGAATTTTAGCCCTCTAGAAAAAGTCATAGAAAATTTCAGCCCTGTAAAGAATCAGCCATATAGAATTTCTGCCATCTCTAGAATAAGTCGTAAAGAATTTCAGCCCTGTCTAGAATCAGCCATATAGCATTTCAGCCCTCTAGAAAACGTCATATATAATTTCAGTCCTGTCTAGAATCTGTTATTTAGAATGTGTCTTGTTTAGAATCAGCCACATCGAATTTCATCCGTGTCTAGAATCAGCCTGTGTCTAGAATCAGCCATATTGAATTTCATCCGTGTCTAGAATCAGCCATATTGAATTTCATCCGTGTCTAGAATCAGCCATATTGAATTTCATCCGTGTCTAGAATCAGCCATATGGAATTTCTTGAGCATTATATTGCTCTTCCTGGATGATATAAGGATAAAACATATTTAACACAACCAGTGTGGAGAGCACCGATGTTATGTAACCAAAACATTGATCCGTATTCTGAGATTAAGACTAAGAGGATGGCGGCTGATCGTACAAAACTTCCTTTGATCATGATTTATTTGTCTGATATCCTCTTAAAAAGAGGATTTTTGGTTTGTTGTGTTCAGCCTTCTTGTATTTATAGATTCCGTCAGATCTCATAGACATAAAGGAAATTGAGTCACTGTTACTAGGGACAGATATTATGTGTCACCAATGTTACACAATGTTATCAGTGGTTGCATGAATGGCACACACAGGATGGGATTATGTCAGATTTAATTGCCAGGTACACTTACGTCAAGGCCTGTACGCATGGTTCTCTCTGTAGGAGTTGCCTCCTATTTACCTCTCAGAGAAACACCACAATTAGGCCTTGCACCAGCTTTATATAAGTTTGTGTCTGCTCTGCCTAAATATTTTGAGAATATTAACTTCAGATCATACCTTACTATGTCTGCTGAGCACAGAGAAGTGACATGCTGGTGTCCAGTACACTGCCCCTCCTCCCCCCCCCCCCGACCACATACCATACCTGGCCTTTCTATAATCCGTATAATCGTTACTTGTTACTGAGCCTGATTCACTTGTAGGTGTTGTCTATCTAGTATACAATTAGCACTGATTACACATGTGAGAAGTTGTTATATTACTCATGCCAAAAGCAGTCTCCTCTGGATCTTATTGCACTTGTAAACAGTCTAGTCTGGCTATTTTCTTTTACAGAATTTTAAAATAGGACTTAACAGAGACACCCTTTATTTATCACTGCTTTGCACCCATTACATACTAGAATGGTACATGCTGGGTTTTAGAGCATTACTCACTCCCCCTAGGCAGTTAGCTCTTTAAAGGAGCAGCCTTGGAATGCTTAACAAGCTGTTTTTGCACATTATAATTATTGGTATTTAAAGCTGTATTGTTATCATTGTAAACAGGCGTCTTGGACAGAGGGTGAAACCCTCGAGGTGCACCCACTGACTGAACAAGGTGTTGAAGTTCTGTGTATTTTACTGGATTGCACCAAAATTACTGTGTGTGCAATATCTGCCTACAGCGTCAAATAAATAATGACCAAAAAGGCACATTTTTTACATTGTTTTTACAATCCATATTTTTTTTACTCTGGATATGCCCATTGCAGTGAACCCACTACAAACACATTGACCCAAACCAGGGGTTAAGACATTGTTTGCCAATAAGTATCATTGTCTTTGTCATTCTCCACACGGAGGCCCTAGGTGTTCGCAATCGTCCTTCTGTAGTAATAAATTCTGTTTTTTGATGTTTTTTGATGTTTTATTCCCCATAGTTACATGTCAGTGTCTCTAATGTCTCTGTTGTCAATCACCTTCCTTGTACTCATTGACAATGTTGTGCGTTAGAACGACGATTTGCTGCTCTATTTCCCAAACTAAAAGCACTTAAGGACTTTACTGCACTTTTTTCTTGTAATAAAAAATGGCCCTTGCATGTCTTTGTGCTGATTAATCCATTCCAGGAAAAAAATGTGTTTTAGTATCTTTTATTGGCAGCTTTTGGGTACGTTTCAGTTTTTGCTTGCATGTTTTAAATTCTCTTATCTACGCAATGCAGTATTCTTTTGTTGTAGAGCTGTTATTGCTTAGAATCCACTTTTACCAGCTGGAATAGTTTTGCATTTTTAGAAAAACTATTTTGGGATTAATTATTTCATGGCATTATTCTGTTATTAGAGTGGAGAATAGGAATGTAACGAGAAATTTCCAGTTGGCCTCACTTTCCAATCAATGTACTCTAAACCTGAATATTGCACAATGGAATAGTGTGACTATTCATGTCTTTGTATTCAAAGATCATCTTCTTAGAAGGAAGGAGCACATTCAGTTTTCAGTATCTGCCTACCGAATCTACCAAATGTGCATAAGTTCTCTAGGACCCAATACTGATACGACTAGGTCATCAGACTGACCATAATGTTACTCTAAAACGCCCATACTTCTCTGCTAGCAAATTATAAAAATTGTGGTTTAACAACATATTGGTTGAGTAAAGGATAAAAGTGTGCAAAGTGTGAGGACGTCCAACATCATTTCACGGATTAAAACTTCGTTAGGCATCAGGATGCACCTCTAGTTGCTGTTTTGGTGGACTTAATTCTGCAATGTAAATATTGCAGGCTTAAACCGACAGGGACCCTGCACCCTCTTGAATGAGATGTTAAATTTTAACATTATTCCCTCAATAAATTACATCTTGTCATAACTTGTTGTGTTTCATTGCTTTTGTCCCACCTCCCCCCGCATCTAAAGCATTTCTAAGCGCCATAATGTAATGTACATTCAGTTTTTCCATTTGTACAAGATAGCACTCGTAATGTAAAGTGACATGCAATATACAAATGAATTTACCCTTAGCGCGCACACACATGCCAACATTTCAGTCGTCTTGTAACTAATTTGCCCCTAATCTGCAAGTCTAATTAGAAGGTGAAGGAAGAAAAATAATAATTTGTATTATTATTATTTTTTTATTATTTATATAGCGCCATCAGATTCTGTAGCGCTGTACAATGGGTGGACTAACAGGCATGTAATTGTAACCAGACAACTGGACGTACAGGAACAGCGAGGTAGAGGGCCCATCTCAATGAGCTTACATTCTAGAGGGGATCTGTAGATTCTTCAGAATTCACATTATAGTAGAAAGAAATAAGATGTTCTGGGTGGGGGGGGTGGGGGGGGGAGGGAGGGAAACAGCAGCTAGCTAATTACGGTGTCAAATGGACTTCCATTCTGTTCTAGCGTTGAAGGGCAGCCTGTTCATTTTTTTTGTAGTGGATAAGCGTATTTCATTGCTCCTGGGATAAGCTAATGTATGAGTGCTAAAGGCTATTATCGACCACACTGGGACTGCGCAGACCATCGGAATATCTGTCATACTTCAAGGTCGATCGCAAATCAATATTTTTGGGGGGGGAGGAAGGAAAAGGGCAGGAAATGACACTTAAAACACTTATGTCTCTTACTGCTGTTTAAGTAGATGCTTTGTGTATTATTATTATTTTAATAAATGTAGATCATAATGGATATTCACCATGTTGGTGCAGTATCAAGTTGTAAATGTGCAAAACGAAATATTTTTATGTATAGGTTAAAAGTTATTTAAACTTCTTCATAGATTAGTCTTATTTGGGCTCCATAACTATTTTATCGCTGTAGTAATAGACCATTAACCATCTTTGTGGTCCAGATAGGCTGTGGGAATCGCTGATCCGCCTCAAATTGATGAATCAGCATTCCATATTTCCTTGTGTTTAGCATCCCTCAATCTCTAGAAAATCTTGTCATTTATGGATGGCAGCATGCACAACTGCTTTGCCCACTTACAAGATCTAGATTTATTTCTAAGATGTGTTACAATGTAACACATCTAATTAAAATAGCAATACGTTGATGACTTTGTAGAAGCTTCACTCTTGGTTAATTAAAAAAAACAATTTCTAAAAAAGTTAAGAGATGAACTACATGTGTTATAAATAAAATGCAATACTAATCATCCATTTTTGTTCATATTTCAGCTGGATGATGCTGAGAGCAGTCTGGAGGAAGCTACAAGTGGAAGTGATGCCTCAGAGAAAATTGCAGGTCTTGGTACAAACCAAGCACTTGAAGATCATTATGCTTCTTCGGAATACCAACCAGGGTCTCTCCTTCCCAATAGTCCAAGCATGCTCACTAATGCTGTGCCATTCACAGAGAACTTTAAGGAAAAATGGGCTTCAGACGTTGACCAGTTTATCAAGGAAACTTTGCTACCTTATTGCTCAAATGGAGAAAACCTACATCTCATTGCTGGTGCCATTCCTTCCAATATTAAGATCAGTGACAAGGTGACCGTTCCAGAGTTTGTGTGGCTTGCCGCTTGTTGCAACATTCCCGATGCCTGGTCCACGGGAATTATCAAAGGAACTGTCGATGTAGATAATTTAGAAGACATTACAGTGAAAGAACTTGAGAAGAATTTTCTTGGTGGTGCCAAACTATTTTCTAACCAGTGTGGTGGAGGCAGGTTACCCCCGGAGAGGAGAGAAGTATCTGACGCCTCTTCTCAAACAGACGCTGAATCACAAGTTAAAACATCAGGACCTTTTTTTAAATTCATTGAGTTCCTTTTCTGTATTGTATATGAAATTTTGAAAAATGTGTTTTATCTGGTGTGGTTCTTTGTCAAGCAGATCTGTAACCTGGTACTGGGAAGACTCTATTGGATCTGGACTGCAGTTACTACCTATGTGTTTGCACTTAGCAGTGTTTTGTTGAACATTCCGTGTGATGTTTTCCGTGTGTTTGGAAACATTGTATGTGGCTTTGTACGAATTCTTAACAATGTTTTCTCGGTTGTATGTCTGATACTGAGGCTACCAGCAAGGTTTGTCTGTGACATTGCAAGTTTTCCGTACAATACACTTTGTGCCATACCAGATGTTGGCATTGACATATTGAGCGGATTATGGGGTGTGTTGGCTCTAGGCTTAAATGCTGTTTTTGGAGCATTTGGTGGTTCGTTCTCCGTTGCAAGCTTTGCAGGAAGCAGTTTTCTCCAAAGGTTTGTAGGACAGTCAGACGGATATGAAGCTTGAAGTATATTACACCTTTTGGTAACAATAATACTCATCAATTTATGTGCTAGCACTTTACTGCAAATCGTTTGTAATTCCTGTTGGAGTCGTACCAAATTACATTTTTATTTCTGACCATGTAACTCCACAGGTTATAAACTTGTTCTAGCTGCAACACTAATGCTGGCTTTGAGGTGAAATGTCTGGAATATCCAGCTAGCTTCGATCACATTTTAGAGACTTTAAAGTGTTTTTTTTTTTTGTGTGTGTGTTTTCTGAGCGTGCGTGCGTTCAGTCACTCATGGCACGAGTCTGATTGCATCCTATTGTAAGATCAGGCAATTCTGTTTAGGGAGCATGGATCTCAATTCATAAGATGGCATTTTGTGACTTCTCATTGTCCTTTGTTGAAATTTCATTGCCTTTTTAGATAAAAGTGCAATAATGATACATGGTCAGAAGGATGACTTTTTGTGAATTTCCAGAATTGCCACTTTTGCTTAAAAATAAAATTCATTATAAAAAAAAAATTGGTGCCTAGGGCTGTAAATTACATAGTCAATGGTAACAGTTGGGTGTCTAGCGGTGCAAGAAGAATGCAGGTATTCTGTAGTAATATAGAAAATTCATAATTTTTAATGTTCCATAGTCTTGGAGACCAACAACATGTAAATAGGCGTATGTATGTAATATATTGATATATAATCTAAATTTCTTAATTTACTCTGGTTAGCAACTCAACTTCAGTAAAATCTTAGATCAGAATGATTTTTCACGTAAGAGTTCATGGAAAAATTAAAATTTAAGGAAACAGTTTTTTATTAACCTGGTAGTGTCTCTCTCTCTTTTTTAGGTACTATTTCTTTCTGAATATGTGCACGTTCCAACTTGCTTAGAAATGTACAGCTAAAGATTTGTGTACGTTTAGTATACTGAGCTGTAGAATTCCAAGCTATATGGAAAAACATGTTCCAAGTACTGTTGTGGCACGTACGTTCTAGAAGTAGATTTTGTGCTGTAATAGTGTTCATCTTTTTCATAACCAGTTGTATTGACTGCTTGCCCCCATTGTTTTGATGCTTTATTATTTTTTTGAGTAGACTTTGCCAATTGCCAGTATTTTTCTAACAAGTGTCAGCATGTTAAAGAACAAATGTCAATCCTTGTTATACAATTACCCTGTTCTTAGTGTCACTTCTTTGACACTAATCTATAATTCGGTCTAAAAGTTCTTGAAAAAGATGTCTGTAGGTTTTCATTTAGACCAAATCTAATTTTGGCACTCTGACAACTTAAAAATGGAAGTATTACAAGCATCTGTGCAATTTTCTTGGTGTCATAATAATAATAATATTGTAGGGATTTGTTTTTAGGTGGACTTTGGATCACACATTTCTTGACTTTCCTGTCTTCTCAGTCATTTACGATCTGTGCCAATGCTGAATGCAAATTTCGCCCTATTTCAGTTTGGACCTAAATCATATTAGCAATTGAAATTTTATTTAGTATTATCAGTGCTCCGAATTCAAAGTCCTATGATTACAAGCTAAGCCCTAGAAGTTACTTGCTTCTGCAACCCTGGAGGTCCATGGTATATTCATCAGGGGTTAATTTCTACTAGTCAGTGCTAAATTTTAACTCCTCAATGACTACTGGTGTGTGGAAAATTTGAGCTCTGGTTTTATGGCATTTGCCTCTTAAAAGACACGAAGTACTGCCAAGTTATACTTGCAGAGACACCCTCAGAATTCTCCTCCACCAGTGAATTCAGTGGCCATAAATAGGGCCTGTGTCTGTGTGTTTTATTTTCACATTTAAAAGCTTAAAGTTCAATATATTCAGGACAATATTGCAGCTTCCATGGAAATAGCACTTTTCCAAATATCTGTTGTAATGGATCTACAATTGAGTATGAGAGGAAAGTATTAATAAATGTTTTACTTCGTTTAAAATGTTCTTCTTCATATCTTATTTTTTTTTTTTCTTTGCCCACTGATGATCCATATTCTGCAATTGGCACAATACATTTTGTGCCCGTTCTGGAGACCTACTTGCATGCAGAATCTAGTTAATTTTGAAAAAAAAAAAATTTGTAATATATAGCAAGCGGTCATTCAAACTCCATAGAGGAATGACGAGTGATTGACTAAGGGAAAAGTACATTAATCTATAGGATTTTATTAGGTGACCTCTTGCTTTCCATTGTGGACTGGGCAATTGAAAAAAAGACATCCATAATTTTTCATTGCGGTTTGCGTAATTTACTTTCAAATCCTGCCAGTAAAGTTGCAGATGCAATTTAGTTCTGCTGTAGATCATCAAACTATACCATCAACATTTATGTGTGAACGATTTAGTTGCTAAACTAAGTATGCCTGATTTGGTATATTTGTTTTATAGCACCTATGAACTTGTGGAATTTACTTAAAGGATAGCTATAGTGTTAGGAATACAAAAATGTATTCCTAAGACTATAGGGACCCTTGACTCTCCCTTACCACAGGTGATATAGAGGGTTAAATAACCCTTTAAACAATTACCTGATTCTAGCGCCAATTTCTCTCTGCGCTGGGTCAGGCTCCTCCTCTGCCGACATAAGCAATCAGGGGAACCTAATGTGCAGTGAGTAGTGAGTGCATTAGGCATTGACTCGTTTATGAAAGCGCAGGACGTCCTCATGCAAACTCCGTGAATCTGCAGGATGCGCATCTAATGGCCGCAGTTGTTTGTATTGCAGGGTTAAAGGGGGCAGAGACCATGCACACAGACCACTTCTTTGAGATGAAGTGGTATGGGTGCCTGTAGTGTCCCTTTAACTTAGTTGACGAGTTCTACATAATAACTTATCGGTTAAGAAGAATAGGCATATTAGGGTATCTTTTTTTTTTTTTCTGGAGTTTGGTTCCATAATCAGGATTCTTTTTGTTTCATTTTGGCTTATTATATGAAAGGAATTGACAGATTTGTATTCGAGTAGGTGGATTATTTTATTATTACACCTCCCCTCTACTTCTCAGTCTGTTTGATGTATGCATATGGTATTGTTGTGTTTTTTAGTAAATAATAATAATTCAGACGTTCTGTTAAGCACATCTATGTTGCCTTGTTGATTTATGAAAACTGCACGGTTTGTCTTTTTTGAGTTGTTGCATTATTTATGTTCTATTTTGCACTGATTTCAAACCAGGCCAAAACACAGAGAGAATCTTTTATCTTCCTTGTATTCATTCATGTATATTAAGCCATGCATATATTACAAAGCAAAATGAAAAATGATGTATAAATTTATAGTTTAGCATTTTTATTTTCCGCGTTCTAAGCTGTAATGTTAGTTATGCTTAACACTTCAACAGGTATATTGATGATGTATAATCGTACATGGAAAATGTTAGTCAGTTCCACTGGAGAACGTTCATATTGTCAAAACCTGTCAGTGATCTTATTTTGTACTGTTAACTACCGTTGTGCAAGGTGGAGAGGGGAAGCTTTAGTAAGTAACCAAGGACTCGATATTCTATTTAAGGTTTTGGTAAAAAGCTTATTGGTCAGCCATAGTAGTCATAATTTTTAGCATTTGAAACACAAAGGTTGTCTAGTTCAGAGATGTTAAGCGTTTATTGCCTTATGTTGTGTCCATTGCAGTTGGCTTTCAACACTCCAAATAATAAGGGTTGTGGAGCATGACAGTAGCCACATGGACCAGTTGTTTGCAATTCCACAAACTGCTCATTAGTAATACTGTAGAATAGTATTGACTGATAAATCTGGTAAGTGGTAGCATATTAGAATTGTTTGACCGTTACCATACCCACATTCTGTGGCCAGTAGAAAAACACAACATAACCTGTCCATAACAATTTGTCCCATAGAGCTTCAATTTGTACATGTTATTGAAAACAATTTTACATTAATAAATAGATCCCCCAAAAAACAGTCTCTGTTTTTTGTTTTGTTTTTTAACATAAGTGGTTTCATTATTAAAGTGTTTATGATATAATGCCATAAAGACCTCTTAATGCACCTATAAATAAACACGCTTTGAATGTGACTACAGATTTAACTGAATATGTTCTAAGTGTTCGTGTTCTGTGTGCAAGAAACTTTTAATGTAAGTGCACTGTGGTATTTCGAACAACTGAAATGAAGAACCATAATCACTACCATAGGCGTGCGCAGCCTATTGCATTAGGGTGTGCACACTAAAGCACAAGCCGCGTATATGTATGTGTGTGTGTGTGTGTATGTATGTGTGTGTGTGTGTGTGTGTGTATATATATATATATATATATATATATATATATATATATATATATATATATATATATATATATATATATATATATATATATACACATACTGCGGTGTGTGTGTGTGATGTGCAAGGGTTCTGGTAGTGTGCTATGTGGGTATTTGTGTGTGTGTGCGCGCTTGTGAGGGTGCTGTTAATGTACTGTGTGTGAGGGTGCTGTTTGTGTGTGAGGGTTCTGTTAGTGTGTTGTGTGAGGGTGCTGTGTGTGTGTGTGTGATGTGTGTTCTGTTTGTGTGGCGTATGTGTGTGGGTGCTGTGTGCGTGTGTGCTGTTTGGGTGATTTGTGGGGGCAGATTAGTTAATAAAGATCCCCCCTCCCTTCTTACCTTATATAGGGAGGGGGGACCATGCTGCTGCCTTCCCTGGTGGTCCAGTGGAGGTGGGGGCAGATTGCTTAATATCCCCCCTCCCTTGTTACCTTATGCCAGGGAGTAGGGATCCTTTCTGCCTTCCCTGGTGGTCCTAATGGTGAGAGTGCACTCTAGCCTGCGGGGCTAGAGTTCACTCTCGCAAGATCTGAGTGCGCACGCCTATGATCACTACAGTACTGGTTATGGTGATGGGAAACCACACTAAAAGTCAGCCAGTTTTAGAATGGTTTAACACTTACCTGGGTACCCCATGTACCGTCAATACATCCTTGATTTCTGATAGTGACATCAAATCTGCAGGTGTTTAGACAGATCATTACCTCAACCAAAGAATCAAATCCGTATATGGATGAAATTGATATAGCTATTGTGGAAGGGGATTTCTGCTGTAGATATAGTAGAAATGGAGGCTGATCACACAGAGGCACTCATGAGACCTAGGTAAGCGTCATGGTTTGAATACTTATTGTGGAATGGCACTAGGGGACCACTGGCACCACAACCACTAAAGCAGGTTGTATTGGATATGGTGCTTAGTATTCCATTAAAAATGATTAAAATAAAGTGATGCAACTTCTGTTTTTATAGATACTGATAAGCTACAAACTCATTGTTATCGTGAGTTTTCATCTTAACCTAAACTATATTTTGGTAGGACAGCAAGTTCTGATTTAATGCTGGATTTCCAAGCTGTGTTTAAAGGGGAACAATCAGTGTGGTGTGAGACGTAGTATTAAATAAACGAATACTTGGCTCCATGTCAATCATTGTTATAAGCTATGTCCTTTACACCTGGTAGTCAGCATAGAGAAATTAGAATGTGTAAACAATTCCACCTTTAGCTCCTTCACTACCAAGTGTTCCAATTATTTTGTCGTGGAAAGTGATGTTAATTTTGGTTGGACATAAAAACAAAAACAAAAAAACTGCACATACATTGTAATCGCCACTTTTGGGTTGGGGCTTGTTACACCCTCGGCAGACCGTGAAAGTGTTACTTCTATCGTCAGCACGCTCTCAACAGACATAATACGCTGCACGGGGAAACCTAGATCTCTTCAGCATTATAGCAATTGATTTATTTTATTTATTTATTTTGAATTCCCTTAATTGTTATAAAACCAAAACATTCTACTTTACTGCAGAATGTGTTCTAGTTTATAAGCAAATGGATAGTTATGCAAAAAAAGAACGGAAGGTTCTCATCTCGTATGCCGTGGAAAATACCTCGAGGATATGTTCCAGATAGGCCTCTTTTAGAATATGGAAATCATTTCATTCCAAAGAATAGTTTTTGTGTAAATTGTTTTTTTTTCTCTACTTTTTATTAGTGCGTGCTAGACTGATATATTCCATGAGTAAAGAATTAACTAACTCATGATAACTTGTTTTAAATCATTTTTTTTTTTTTTTACATTTTCAATGTTATATTTAGTAGTAAATTCCAAAGACATGATAGTTCCCCTTAAACCTCTTAATTATCAAGCGGTTTGTGATGTCATTGGAACCATAATCTGAGTATTTTGGATGTCCTTAAAAGTAATGTTTATTTTTATTGGACAGGAAAAATAAGGTCATTTACCAAATAATGAAGTTGCAGATAAGAAAACAGTGTTGTAAATAAACCCAGATTATGCATTCCCCTTTCCCCCCACCCCACATATTCTATAAGCCTCCTCTCACATATTCAATATCCCATATATACACATATTGTTTGTGTGTGTGTGTGTGTACACATATCAGCCACAACAATAAAACCAGGGGTCAAGTCCTGGGGAAAAAAGTGTGGGAACTAACCCAAGATTCCCGCTTCCAACCCCCCCTCCCCCCATAAAAAAAAAAAAATTACACTCTTATGCATATAGTGCAGTGCAGGGTGTGTATAATGAATATAGTGTATTTGTAGTGAATGCAGAGTATGAATAATAAATGTAGTGTATTTGTAGTGAGTGCAGTGTGTATAATAAATGTAGTGTATTTGTAGTGAGTGGAGTGTGTATAATAGATGTAGTGTATTTGTAGTGAGTGCAGTGTGTATAATAAATGTAGTGTGTTTGTAGTGAGTGCAGTGTGTATAGTGAATGCAGTGTGTATAGTGAATGTAGTGGTTTTGTAGTGAGTGCAGAGTGTGTATAATGAATGTAGTGTGTTTGTAGTAAGTGCAAATTGTGTATAATGAATTTAGTGTGTTTGTAGTGAGTGCAGAGTGTGTACAATGAATGCAGTGTATGTAGTGTGTTTGTAGTGAATGCAGAGTGTGTATAGTGAATGTAGTGTGTAGTGAGTGCAGAATGTGTATAGTGAATGTAGTGTGTTTGTAGTGAGTGTATAGTGAATGTAGTGTGCTTGTAGTGAGTGAAGAGTGTGTATAATGAATGCAGTGTGTGCATGTGCTGGATGGTGTGTGCACGCACTGGATGACGTGTGTGTGAGTGCTGGATGATGTGTGTGTGTGTGAGTGCTGGATGATTGTGTGTGTGCTGGATGATGTGTGTGTGAGTGCTGGATGATGGGTGTGTGTGTGTGAGTGCTGGATGATGGGTGTGTGTGTGTGTGTGTGAGTGCTGGATGATGGGTGTGTGTGTGTGTGTGAGTGCTGGATGATGGGTGTGTGTGTGTGTGTGAGTGCTGGATGATGGGTGTGTGTGTGTGTGTGAGTGCTGGATGATAGGGGGGGGGGAGCATTTTTTTTTAACTTTATGTTAAAAGAGCGTAAATTGACCAATATAATTTGATGTTGTTATCCCACTCTCTTGGACACTTCTCACTTGATCTGTGAATAAAATCAGCATTAACTGTCCCTGAGTTATCAATCATTCTTTTTGAATTTTTTTAACTATAAAGCATATATATCTTTGTGTCGGGGGAGGGAGCTGCTTCCATTGTGTTCTGTGTATGGGGGCTACTTGTGATCTTGACGTATCTAGTGGATTATGGCAAGGCTATGACTGGCTATGTGTGGATGGGGAAATGGCATTGTGTGTGTATATGAGAGGACTATATGAATGTGTGGGGTGTACCTGATGGTTCGTGGGAGCAACAAAACAACTCTCTGGTGCTGCTTTGCTGTAGGTCTGCCACTATAGCTCGGTGCAAACCCCTGAAAATGTTCCATTCCAGTCTGTGAATGTGAGGGAGCATTAGCATTGATTTGCACTCAGCGGAGGTGCAGACCTGCTGCTCCCTCGCAGTTCAGAGCTGGAGCATAGAGCTTATGTACACATATTGACCACAAATATTTAATTCCAGAGCAATCTTTTTTTTTTTTTCTGTGAGTAGGGCCTCCTCTTTGGACCGTCATTCAGCCAGCTGGAACACTCATTCTCCCAAGCAATATCAGTTCTGTTAAAGTTTTGCATCTGGTGCCCGCACACACCGCATGCTAACACCAAACCCCTTGGACAGGCTGCCCATAGTCGGGTGTTTTACACAGAGCTCTCACTGAATGGCTCCTTGATAAAGAAAAAAAATACATAGACTGATTCTGTTTTTTTACTTCTGCTATTTCTACATACAAAAAAGCCACCCACAAGCCAACAAGACATTTCCTGCCACTAGTCTACTTGGGTCAGTGCAGCAACCGCTTGATGAATTGCTTATGTGGAATACTCAAATCACCCTAGTCCCGTGTTTGGCTGAGCCTGAAATTAATTTTAGTTCACAAAACTTCATATAGGAAATACAAGCATCAAAGAAAAAGTAATACTTAAAACCAACGCTTGAATATAACCCTAAAGTGTTTTTTGTTTCATAAAAACAAAATCTTTTTTTTTATTTTATTTTTTTATTTGACTGGACAATGTTTACCACTAATTAAGAAGTAATTGCTGGATGGATGATCTTTCTGCTGTTCTGAGTCATAGAATGTGCATTAGAACGTGATCGTACATCCTTACCAAATAGAAAATGCTGGCAAGTGTAACCTTGGCCGATCAGATACCGGCATGTTGCTCTCAGTGTTATTATTTGGAGTACGACCTCTAAGGAATCTTGTATGTCATCAGCAGTGAAGCCTTACAAATGTAGTCACTATTAAATCCACTTGCAGCTGTTGTTGAGTCAGAGGACTAATCATTGTTCACTGACACACTCATTTTTTTCTTCCTTTGGTAGTCAACATTGTAACCAAAATAATGGACATTATCATTAAAAGGGACACTATATGCACCCGGACTACTAGAGCTCATTGAGCATTGCGCATTAGCGCCCACTTGCCGAGGGAGCTCTGAGAGGGCAGAGCTTTGACAAAACGCAGAGGAACATCGGCGCGGGGATAAGGTAAGTAAATAAAGGGTTTTTACAGCTTTGTATTCCTGGCACTATAGTATCCCTTTAAT